CTCACTGCTGATAAGCCCTTGCTGGTCTTCGTTATAACATGGTCTTTAAATCTCCCAATGGAACACAGGCTCTCAACCCATGCCAAGCTGTTCCATTATTTGAGTCACCCCCATTCTTCTTCATCATTTTCACTCCATTTTATGCTTTTAAGCATTTATCAGATTAATATAAAGTTGCATAAACAGAGAAACAAAAATACTCATAAAGTATCCAGTATTTTTAATGATCATTACCAACAAATTTGATTGTTATTTCTTCATGAATACAAATACATAACTAGTGCATGGGAATCCAGACATTCTGAACCAATAAACACCCTGGGAAGTCACCAGGTCTTCACCAATTTACTGTACAAGGTCACTGAGAATGACTGCTGGGACTTTAGGCTGTTATTATAAAAGCTGGGACTTTAGGCTGTTATTATAAAAGCTGGGACTTTAGGCTGTTGTTATAAAAGCTGGGACTTTAGGCTGTTGTTATAAAAGCTGGGACTTTAGGCTGTTATTATAAAAGCTGGGACTTTAGGCTGTTGTTATAAAAGCTGGGACTTTAGACTGTTATTATAAAAGCTGGGACTTTAGACTGTTATTATAAAAGCTGGGACTTTAGGCTGTTATTATAAAAGCTGGGACTTTAGGCTGTTGTTATAAAAGCTGGGACTTTAGGCTGTTGTTATAATAAAAGTGTTTAATGGATATACAATTACATGTATAGCATCTTAAAATGTTCAGAAATGTTTAATTTCATGTGATGCTGTGTGACCATGAGATAAGACACAAAGATAAGTTACATCTAGCATCTTTAAGAGAAGGTTGCTGCAGCAACTGTATCTCTGGACACGATTCAGAAGATGTGGTCTGAGAATGAACACCATCTAGGCATCACCAGAGCTACAATGGCATCCATACTGAAGTCTACTAAGGTAGTAGCTAGTTGCGTATCCTTTACAGGACGTTGCAGAACCATTTGTTTAGCTGTTGTGAGGTTTCTAGGTGTATTTTTATTTTGGTAGTTTGCCACTGCTTTATAAATGTAGCTCTTGGTACCGCTGTTGAAACCAACACAAGACAAATTGTCAGCAGCTGGGATTGAACCCGGCACCTTGGCATTATGAAGCGCGTTAACAGCGCATAAACCAAAGATATACTCAGGTAGTAAGTAAGTCTAAAACTTAAAACTTTACTAAACAGTTCAAGGTGCCACAGATGTATAAAAACTGCCAATAGACTGCCTTTATATACCAATTCTGTGGTGTAGGCTGGGCGGTCTTTGAACCAAAGGTTTTAAGGCCGCATGGCTAGTGCTGTCGCCATGACTGCAAGTGAGGATTTTATTTTGCCCATGACCCACAAAAAAACCCTAGCCATACCGAGGATTCGAACCTGGGTCTCCGGCATGAGAGCCCAGCATTCTAACCGTTCAGCCAGCCACTCCTCCACAGATGTCTATCCATTAAATACTTCTGAGATAATCAGTTGAAAATCCCAGCAATCATTCTTTCTGACCCTGTAGAAGAAAAATGCTTATCCTGTTGCTCTTTTTTATAATCATGTTCTTTTAATCTTTAACATGTGGTCCACAGACTAGAGAGCTGGTCCACTTGAATTTCCTGGTGGCATGCCAAACATTCCCACTCAATAATTATTTCACGACTAAAATGCTCCCTGACTTCTGGGTACTACAATAGTTTTCTCTATTTGTCATCAGTGAAATATTTCTCAAGATTTCCCAGTCCTCACACATAAAAAGGCTGAAGAACAACAGTTTATCGAGCATGCAACAAATGTGAAATGTCAGTATTTTCTCAGATCATAACAATGAAACATGCATAGATCATCATCAAGTGCCTTGCCAAATGGTGTGGGTGACCATGCATTTCCACAGCAGCATTCATCAGCTTATGTCATGACACTCCTCCATGCCATGACAACAGAATCAAGAATTTGCTCACATCTACTTTTATGATCTCAATTTCCAGTGGTCAGAGCATGTACCAGTTTACCTTTTCTCATAATATGGCCAAACACGATGCTGATATTTGTGATAAGTTGACCCCAGCAGTTTTCAAAACATCTGGATTACTACTTTACATGGCAGCCGATCGACTGACTGATGCTGAGAAAACTTGAAAGAATATAGCATTTTTTTTTTGCATTTTTCTGGCAACAGCAGGTAAACTGGTTGCCATCTACACATCATTATACACAATGAAGGAAAACTCTGTCATTAGTGTATATATAGACTGCTATCCATCTATCTCCTCATGTTACTCTTCCACCTGTGTCGCTGCCTACCTCTTGCTCATTTGACTTCAACTTTTTCCTATTTAAGTGTTATGTCTTCTCATGCTTCATAAATATTTCACCTGCCTAATTTTTATCTCAGCAAGTCCCATGGCTTAGAGGTCAGTGAATGCACTTCACAATTACTGATCCTTGATGCACCAGTGGTTAAATTTTAAGGCAATTGATAAAAAAATTATTTTGGCTTCTGGACAGTAGTATAAGAGATGCACCAAGGAAGGAATTGAAGCCTGGCAGGTGGCACACATTATTTGTCATCTCTAAAAGTTAAGCTGCAACAGGGGTTTTCAATTTTTTTTTCAGGTGACAGCCTATTGAAATTATGGCAGTCCCCCCCCCCCCCCCCCCCCCCCCCCCCCCCCCCCCCCCCAAATCTGACTTAGAGGACAAAAAGAAAACTTAAAGCACTATTAGCAAGAACTGTAATCCTTCTTAATCAGGTTTATAATGGCAGATGTTGAAACTGCTAATAAAAAGAACAAAGTCCTCGGCTTTTTGTTTTATAACTGATATTTGTTTCAGGGACCAAAAAAAGGGAAACACTGTTTTAGCTTATTAAGGATATATAAGTGATGCAGCTGACACAGCCAGCACAGCTTCTGTTCTGTTAGTTGCCTATCCTTCACAAGACATTGCAGAACTAACCCATGCTGCTTGATTTTACTAGACAATTTTCCATTCTGTAGTTTGCTATCACTTACTGAGCAGTCGGCGCTCCACACCAATTTTTGCAATCAAGTGAAGTGGGCTGCTGCCAAATCTCCAGCAGCTGGAATCAGACCAGGCATATGGAATTATAAAGCGCTTTCGCAGCGCCTCAGCCCCAAATACCAATTTAAGTTCAGTACACATTGCAATTTGGCTTGGCATTTATAATGAAGGGACAAGCATACAATTTCAAATTTAGAATAACTTTATCAGAAATATCAGCTAGTTACAAAAATGTCAAACAATTAATACACTGATAACGTTTTGCACAATAATAATGTCAAACCACACCAACAAGCAAAAACTCATCGCTCTAACTGTCCACCTTAGTTTCACATCCTGACTTTTTTTTAAATGATGCACCATCTGCTCAATAAATGTTGGCTCAGTATCCATTGAGTATTTGGGAATATAAGTGGTATGGCCCTATGGCAAGACTCCTGTACTTTGTCTCCTGCCTAAAAAAAAACCATACAATTGGGTTTCTTTTATTTTTATAGCATTACAAACAAGAATTTCTCAATTAAAAATGTATCTATATTTCAAATGTGCGGCAGAGATCCCAGATTTCTTCCCAGTGTTATAAGACTAATCTGGGTTCAAGTGGCAGTTGTTTCCCGGCCACTGGTTCTAGAGTGTCCTCAGCCTCATAAAAACAAGGGGAGATGGCTCGTCTCTTTACTGTCTGTGTTACACATATATACGTACAACAGTTAAGGTTTCAGCCATGACCAAGGTAAGCCCCAACCCTGAGAATGTTCAGAGATAATTAGCTGAACATTTGTGGAAGAGAAAACTACTTATTATCTGAAGCCTTCGGTTAATTATGCTCGCTTCCCTATGACATTTATAGTTCAAGAGCACAAAGTCCAGAGTTCTGCAATGCATTTTAAAATACAATAAGTTGTAAAAAGTGGCTGATTTCACTGACATAGTTTAACCAGATTTGTTGATATTCAAACATATTTACTCACATATTCCATTATCAACCAAACGGAACTATTTAAAATACAGTGACACAGTCAAGCCAATTTCAAGAAGTAAAAAATTTTCTCGTGGAAAAGCAGAAAGTGTTATGTCAGTCCTGCAGTGGAAGAGATTGGGGCCTCACCCTGTAATATTAACCCTTTTAACTAAAGAAGAAGTACGGTAGGGTCCATTTCCCCGTAAATGTAATTTGTTCCTACTTGCCTATCATGACTTGTCTACGTAACAAATAGTTTATGCTAATGGCCGAGTTCATGCCTGCACAAATTTGTAAGAGGCGATGATACAAATAGATTAGCTAAAATTAGCATTTAGTGAGATTTTCCTTTCAGCTAAATTATTTTTTTTAAGGCAAGATGACATCAGTTTTTCTCACAAGCCTCAGTGATGGAGGTCGTGGCATCAGTTACCCATTACATGGAAGATTGTTTATGCCACAGGGAATGGATTCCATTTAATGCTTTACCATGTTCAGTTACACTGATTTCTCCTTTCATTTGCCTTTTTATTTTTCAGAAAAATAATTTTAGTGTAGTTAAATACATTTGAACTTATTTATTAACGACCAGTGTAAAAATTGTTTTATGGAATTCTAATGGAGGTCATGATTTTCTTAAAAAAGTACTCTAGGGGAAAAAGTTAACAAAGACAGCAGTCAGTGCACTTTAGTCCATCTTCAGAGACCACAGTCAACTTACACAAAATCACAACAGTACGAGCTTACACAGTACTCTACCCCAAACTGTTTATTTTGTTTGTTGCCTTATGAAACATGTAGTTTTGTACACTGATAAAGACTCTGGTCAAGAAACCCCTCAGCCGTACTTGTGGGTTGTTTTTTCCTTTCCCTCTATTGAACTGCCTAGTAATAGTATGTGTAGCATTTAATTGCTTCCATATATCTTATCATAAGTTATAAGAGTAAACGGCAGTATGACAAAGAATTCAACATGAAACGAATGAAGCAATGAGATTAAGCAAATGGATACTAAAAATATAGTTCATGTGGTTATCTTCTCTATCTCATCTAGGTCATCTGCATCCAGCTTGGCAATTTTACGACCTAGTTGAATGAAGAAACAAATAAATTATTACAAAAAAAAAAAAAAAAAAAAAAAAAAAAAAATGAAAGGATATCATACAAAAGCCAATAGAGATAAATGAATTGTGTATTTATGCACTAAAGATTTACTTTAAAAGAAAAAAGTACTGCAGCTAACATGTCAAAGTTTACGTAAAAGATATTTTATCACGTCAGTGAGGCCAGAAGCCAATAGTCTGCACACAAATAAGCCAGATTCATAAAATGGATGTGCACATGAAACATAAGTTTTGGATCAAGACCTATCCCCCCCCCCCCCCCCCCCCCCCCCCCCAGTGGGTTCCGATCAAGACCAAGAATATTCTCATTGCTTCCCCAACAAGCATATCGTAGGAGTCAACAAATTGGGGACTTCCTTCCAAGTCGGACTGCATCTGCCTGAGCGGTAAGGAAAAAATCAACTGCATAAAAATGAGCCAGTAAAATGGATGTACATGAAAAACTCAGGCCCTGGCACAAAGTCAAAGTCCACATGGATAAACAGCCAGGAGCTTATAGCTGGTGAACGAAGAAGAAGAAGGATCAAGTCCAAACTCCAGGAGTGGAAGAACAACCAGAACTTTCCGCCAAAGTTTACAGTCAGTGAAGGCTAAGAAGTAGATCACGTCACTAACTGCCTCTGGTAACATGTATCATGCTAGTCAATTTAAAGCAGGGCCATTCAACTAAGTTTGCTCATGGGGCCAAAATGTTGGAAAATGGAGATCATCATGGGCCAGAGGATCAAGCCCTATCATAGAAAGAGCATACACAATACAGTTGGCAGGCAAGCTGCAAGCCATTTGCTAGGCCTCTGCGGGCCACCAGTTCAATAGCCCTGATTTAAAGACTAGTGATGAAATCATTCCATCACCCCTTGTCTTCTTCAGTTCAGATTAATATGAACCTCAATGTCCCTTCATGTTTCTTGAATGTTTTCTTCTTTCTTTCCCCTGAATTTCCCCCAGCTGGATTAATATGATTTTTATAGACCCATTGGTGATAGATGTGGTCAACATCATACCAGCCACCTTTACTTCCTAGGGCATTTCCTGATTATCATTGTCAATGTTAAAAATTGTGCCCTATCTGGATTTGAACCCAAGACCTTCAGGCTGACAGGCAAGCATCTAGCCACTGTTACAGCAATGCCCATTAGTTGTTGCCTAAAGTTAAATCTGAGAAGAACTTAAAGCTCACTTACCGAAATGCTTCTCGATGTGCTTGAGCGTGGCCATGGACCGGCCATCAACAAAATTGATGGCAATGCCGTTTTTCCCAAACCTGCCTGTCCGTCCAATCCGGTGCAGGTATGTTTCGCAGTCAGGCTTGTAATCCATAGTTAATGGAAGGTCAAAGTTCACGACAACTGTGACCTGCTCAACATCGATACCTAAAGTAAACAAATACAATGTGTTAACACAAATAAACAGAAGAGTTAAATTCTTCTTCCTTTGTCCTACTGTTTATTCCGTGTGTCGTGAAATGATAGCCATTACGCATCGGTCTGTAAGGCTGATAACCTGACTTACCTGTAATCTGCACAAAATTCAAACTTGGACTCGCCCAGAAATATATAGTCCCTTATATCTATATATATAGGCCTTTATTGGACAACATTATTATGTCTACCTTTTCTGGTTACTTTAACTAAACTCCACTTTTAAATGTATATATCTTCGATATATATTAAGGGAGTTATTTGAGGTTTCGTGGAAACCGATTTACTCCTTGCTCATGTATACTAGGGACTTCTTTTTGCACCAACGCCTGAAGTGTCTAAGTGACGCTATTCTCTTTGCCAGCTTCCTAGCGTCCACTCGTGTCAATCTATGCCTGTATTATTTCATTTTTCCAGGCGATCTGGAATGTCTCAGTTTTTACATATGCTTGGGTAAGTTAATTATAGTTTACGAGTACCTAAAATGATGTCTGTAAAGTAGTCACTGCTGTAGAGAGATCAGTATCGGCTGTGTGATCACACTTAGTTCGACCGTTCTTGATCGCTAGAGAAGCGGATTCGAACGCAGACCTTCCCCTGTACAGACTAAATAGCTTATGCCCTCAATAAACCACCCATACTGGTAAAACTTAATACCCTTACAAGTGTGTACGTTTTAAACTAACTATAGAAGTTGTGCATACCAAATGGGGACAGAAGTAGGTCAGGACTTTGTTAACCTAAGTATGTGTGTGTTTGACCCAGATCAATGAATGCTAGGGCGAGCGTTGGGAAATCTAGGGAATGCAGGTACTGACAGTAAATATTGGTGTCTGTGTGCAGGGGGAGAGAGAGAGAGTGATATATGTGTTAGAACACTTTATCTATCTCCACTGTATATCTGACTTGCCTTCTCTTGCACTAAACAGACAGATGAATATAGGAGACTTATGTCTCTTGGTCTGGAGAGGCAATCTGAGGAATGAAACAGGAGAGCAGGGGGGAGTCAGCAGATGGGGGTTGATGACTGATGCTTGTTCTGTCTTTCCTGTCAAGATGTTACCCTCTTGGTGATGACTAATTTTGAGTTATTTTCTTGACAGGATGTATCATTTGTGAGGAGCTGGCAGAAGTTTCACAGTCCAACCAACACCCATCAACCAATCAAACAACCCTAAACTAACTGTACCCACCAGCTAACACCTGTGAAGGTTCCTGAAATCTCCAACATGTGGGAGATGGTACCTCAAACAGCCTACCAGTGCTAGAGCTTAGGGTAGCTCAAAAACAATGTGTAGTCTACTTGGTGATAGAGACTTGCTAAGTACCAGTGCAGTATTGTGTCCTCTATGGTGAGGTACTCTCTGACTATTTGATCCAGTGGAGCAGAATTTCCAGAATCAAAGACAGTCGAATCATCCGGAGCTGAAGGAGGCATCATAGACAGAAAGGATAGAAGCTGATGCTTCATGTGCTGTTTTTTTCCCTCACAGCTCATTTGTTTCCAATGATGACATATAGTCACCTCCAGGACCGGCTGTCTGTATAGTTTCCTTGGGATCTAGACATTAGTTGCTGAGATTCTTTCACTGATAGCTGGAATTCACTTCAATATTATATGTACATACATTATACTAATTACATGCAATCACTTTCATGACTGACTTAGGTTTCCCTATTTCACCTTTTTAAGTGTTTAGCAGTTGTATGTGTATGTATTTTCAGTATATGTGTTAACATGGTTATGATAATGACTTATCATAACCTGGGGGCTTTCTTTAGTAAGTAGTGGGGGTGTCCAGCCAAGTGTGCCTAGAAATATTGTATTCATATACTGATATATTTTGTAGTGCCAATACTTGAGTTGCCCTACTCCAGAGATAAGTTGAGCGTATATTGGCCACGGGGAATCCCTTAGACCAATACGAGCCAAACGACTCAACATAATTATCTCTGAGTGCTGTTGGTTCTGAAGGAGAAATCCTTACATTAGGCACGCGACAGGAGTGATATGTGACACCGTGTAGTGTCCTAGACAGGAGTTGCATGTAGTTTTCTGTCTTTTAATAGTTGTGTAGCTAGTGTTAATGTCTAAACAACCTTAATTTGTCCCCATGTGGGATGCAATTTTTTGTCTGAAGCCCCACGCTGGTTTCTGTCAGGGGCATAGATATGTTGTAACCGCTGAAAGTGGTTTATGGGACCTCTCAACGGGTGATCCTCATCCGCATGGTGGCACTCTGTGTCATCGGATGTTTATCGCTTGGGTGATGTCCTGGTGGGGTACAACTACCTACCTACCTAGTGTTAATGTCATTTCTGTAGTATCCTTTTACTCGCTCCACTTATATCTATCTTGGTGAGGCTCCTGACTTGTAGCCTGCTGTTCTGATGTTGTACTGTAGCTACTGGCTGATTCTGTTTCATTCTCACCACATGACCAAATCATTTGATGTTTTGTGAAAACATGTACAGGTATTGTACCTGACATTGTTCTTAGTTCTTCGTTAGTGACTCTATTCTTGTTTTCTTTTTATAAATCTTATTTCATGTGTTTGTTTTTCTAGGAATGTACATGTCTATCCCTTACGTCCTTTTTAGGACGTAATTTTTTCTTATTTGAAGCCCCACTCTGGCCAGGGGCCGCAATATAGGCAGGCCATCAATATGGCCAATTGTCTGAACGCGGTTTCTGGGACCTCTCCACGGTGATCCTCATCCACATGGTGGCACTTTGTGTCATCGGGTGTTCATCGCTTGTGTGATGTCCTGGTGGGGTAGAAAGTCAGTCAGTCAATGTACATGTCTGGCACTGATAGTAAAATAAAATGAGCCTCCAATGTAACCGACTTCATTAGGGAGCACAAATCAGTGATTAGGGAGTGGCAGCAACACAGCAGCTAGATACTTGCATTCTGCCCTGAATATCTTGGGTTCAAATCCACATGAGGGTGGATTTTTTTTTTCTAGACACTGACTCTGATCCTCAGTTCTCTGTTGTGGGTCCCAGGGCCCCAACTGCTGGGGAAAAAAAAAAAAATAACTCTGCACCCCCCCCCCCCCAAATAAGCATGTCATAAAACTAATATTTAGTGGTGCTTTCCTCATAGTCAGAGTGCACCTACATGAGAGGAAAGTAACCAACACTGCAGATAAATAAGCCAGACCTGCAAAATGGATGTGCACTCAAAACTCCAGTTCTGGAACAAGACTTTAGTCCAGAAGCAGACAAACAATCAGAACTTTCTACTTTAGTTTACAGCCAGTAAATGCAAAGAAGAAGAAAAAGAATCCCAGATCGAACCAGCCTAAAATGAGCAGCAGGTAACATCCATTATTCAACACTTCTGGCCCCAACAGATTTTGCGGCAATATTCCAATTAATAACATCCAAGATTTTCTACAACGGCGTAAAATCTTAGTGGTCAGAGGAACATTTCAGTACAAGATTTCACAGGAGACATCAAAGTGAAGAAATAATCCTGTCGAAAACCATGAATGCATTACTTTCAGTGTCAATACAGTTTCTTCAGTATGTTCTTAAAATATGTGCATGCAAAACTTAGTCATAGCACCAGAACTTTTCACCGCAGTTCACAGCTGGTAAACACAAACAAACAAAAAACATACTGGAGTCAAGAGAGCAAGGGGTAGACGGTGATACAAATGGGAGGACAATATGAAGAGATCAATGAACAGCAGTGTGAGAGCGTACAACCAAGACCAAAAACAGAAGGAATTGAAGCCTGGCAGGTGGCACACATTATTTGTCATCTCTAAAAGTTAAGCTGCAGCAGAGGTTTTCAAACTTTTTTCAGGTGACAGCTTATTGAAAATATGCCCCCCCCCCCCAAGAAGAGGCCAAAAAGAAAACTTTAAGCACTATTAGCAAGAACTGTAATCCTTCTAAATCAGGTTTATAATGGCAGATGTTGAAACTGCTCATGAAAAGAACAAAGTTCTCGACTTTTTGTTTAATAACTGATTTTCTGTTTTATAACTGATATTTTTATAACTGTCATTGTGGAGATAGCACCTGAATAATTCATGGTCGATTTAACTCTTTCAGTCCCACTCCAAACTGGGTGTATGAGTGACGGTATCGTGATTTCCCTTGATTTATAATGTGCTCCCTTTCTTCTCTGACTCGCTATAGTCTTGCTTCCGAGGAGACACTAACAAAATTGCTTCTATTTTTCCTGGGACATTTTTTTTAATGACTGGTAATGAGTACAGTTGCTAAAAAACAGCATTTAGATGGGGTGTCGTAAAAAATGGCTATATTTATAGAAATTAGGACGTCATAATTCCCCTTATATTTATAGAAAATGGGACTTCATAATTCCCCCTATATTCAAAGAAAATGAGGACAAATTAATTTCCCCTTAGTTACAGCGGTAACTGCCAGCCCATTCATGGGGTCAAGAAAGGAACAAACTAAACATTTTCTCTCAACTCAGAGAAATAACCTAGCCAGTTGTTCTCTGCTCCATTTGGTGTTTACTGATTATTATTTATTATGTTATTAATTACTGTTTGGTCCATAAATATAACTGTTATGAGTTGTTGTGTGACCTGTGTACAATGTTTTTGTTTTTTAAAAGTATATTATTTTGAGAAAACTCAAAATTCCACCCAAAAAAAGGTCTTTGGCATCGTTTTTTCTAGGTCACAGAGGTGAAAGGGTTAAGCAACAACTACATGGGACCAAAAGAGTTCAAGAAAAAAAGTCCATTTCAATATGGCCATTGAGTTAACCCTGTGTGTCGATTCCTCCCCACCAAATACATGGTTGACACATTCCGTTTCTGGGGACAACTTTTATCTAGACAGTTGCAGTCCCCTGCTGACGAGATTCTGTCTTCCTGAGTGGGTCGCCGCGATCTAAACTTTGTGATGGCAGCGTGGTCGAGGCTGCCAAAACTATCGGTCATTATTCCGCTCCGACATAGCACAGCCATAATACACGCTGCTCCCACGAAACACATAGTATCCTGCGCTGGAAATGCGCACAAAAATAGCAGTCCAGGATTAGAAAACAGAACAATCCGAGAGAACTGACAGCTAGCGAAAATAAACACCGCTGCTATCTGCCATTTTGAAAACCACAGCCATTTCAATATAAAAACTATGAACACTCACCTCGAGCTGATACATTGGTTGTTATGAGAACTTTCTCCTTCCCGTCCCGGAACCTCTTGATAATGCTTGCTCTCATTTCAATGGGCAATTCTCCTGACAAAAGGCCGACTGCATGGCCTTCACTCTTCATGAACTCTGCAAGGTCACTTGCAGTTCTTCTTGTCTTTAAAAAAAAAAACAGGTGAGATTTATAAAAAATTAGATCAACTGTTAAAGGTAAGAACATAAATCACTGAATGTCTTTCTTAATAATGGTTCCAGTTGATAGAGAATCATGCTTCTATTTCCTCATATGTTTGGCGGTTCCAAGAAAATATGCTACTCAGATATTTTACCCTTTTACTCCAAAAAATCTTAAAATATAAGTGTTTAACAAATTTCAATAAAAAAAAAACACCTTATACGAGGCATTTTTTAAAGTCCCTGTATAAAATTTAAACAAAAAAGATACATAATTAATGCTATTAGCTGGCTTAGTGCCTGTGTATTTAGGAAGTCATATACATATGGATCAGCAAAAAAAATCAACAGAAAATTTAGGTGGGGGAAAGGTCCTGAATCTGAAAAATGGATCAAAGAAAACACAGTCGATTGCAAATGGAAAGTTCTCAAGTAATTTAAGAGCAGAGGCAGAGACCCTGAGAACTGCAGCAGAAATGCTTCTGTCAGAGAAAAATAAAGAGGAATACATAGCTATCTTCACAGATGCAAAATCAGATGTCACAGCCTGCAGAGCAAAAACGATACAGAACTAGCAGACCTTAGGGCTGCACTCCATAGACTGAGTCAGAAATAAAAAAGAGTACGGTATAATGGATTCCATCCTACGGCGCAACATACCTGGAAATGAAGAGGCTGACAGATTGGCAAAGGAAGGTGGAAGGCTACCCCAGCCTGATATAGACATAACATATGATGAAGCCAAGAGGTTTATAAGAAGTACATATAGTATCAAATGGGATTCTGAACATGATGATGCATACTACCAACTTGGCCGAAGAGAACAAGTAGCAGTGATCTTTAGACTCAACACAGGACACAATAGTCTGAAATACATCTTTTTCAATAAATGAAGTATAGGAGACACCGATGATCGTAACCGTGGAAAGGGTAAAATGACGGTTAAACATTTGCTGCAAGAGTGTCCAAAATATGCAAAACAGAGAAAATTATTCTGGCTAACACCCACAACTTTTGAGGATAAACTGTGTGGAGATGTCAACAACCTCAAGCTAACTGCTGATTTCTTCAGATATATCTACATTGACACCTGAAGGTATACGAAGAATTACCGAAATTATCAGTGCAGATAGCTCTTAGAGATGCAGAGCTTACCACAACGCTGGAAGAAAATGAAATAGACTTATGCCCTTTGGCATCTATGTGGGAAATTTCATAAAAAACTATAGTGGATCATAAGTCCACTGGAGTAAAAGTCTACATGCAAAAGAAGCAAAGTACTCATTTTGTGGTGTAGGTAACTGAAATCCCAAGTCTGCAGGCTGCCTACTGTTGGCTACAAAAGAGATAGCCCACAATGAATGATATGTTCAATATATGGAAGTCAGGTTAAACAGTCATGAGCAGGACGCGACGATTTCTTGGGTAAGCCCAGTACCAGAGCACTATGTGTTAGCTCTGCATTTGTGGAAGCCTCCTTGGATGGTGACTGATTATGTAGCTATTCTAAACTGGCCTGACTGGGGCACCACCTGTGACCTGGGAAATAATGATGACCACACAACAATGAGACTGCAATGACCCACAAAACTAACTGGGAAGACTAACCCAATCAACAAATGCCCACAAAAGTTGGATGTGTTAGCCGAAAGGTACATCTTCAGCTGAATGCAGAAGAAGAACACTAAAATTCTCCTAATTTTAACTTTATATGCTCCATAGGGATACAGAGCATTAACACTCTCCTAGAGATCATCAATTTTAACTTTACAAGACACACAGTTAATGCTGTTAGCTGGCTTAGTGCCTGTGCATTTAGGAGGTCAGGATATGAATATATTTACTACAAAAAGCAGACAATTTTGGGGAATTGTTAGGGTTCATGGCCATTGTTTGTTAGCATTGCCTGGGTGAAAGGGTTAATTGGTTGGCAGCTGGTCCAGGAGAAAAGCTTTCACAGGTTTCTGATTTGGCAGCTTCTGCAGTCTGCTTTGCTCAAAACAGATTGGTGTTATCTTTTCTCAGGAGTAAACAATGTAGGCCAAGGGAATGATCACAATGCAGGTAAAACATTGTCTCAAAAATACTGCCCATGCTTTGGAGAAACTTCACCCAAGACCTTAACTGGTATCACCCTAGACCATGATTCTCATGCCTCCCTACATATCATCATCTGAAAAGATAGAAAAGTGCCAACAGCATGCACGCACACACACACTCAACTAGACAGCACTATAAAAACTAAAGAATTACTTACAGCACAGAAGATCATAGACTGTCCAATAGAAATAGCACCATATATGTTGGACAATGCCTTGAACTTTTCCCTTTGACTGCTACATTCAATGTAGAACTGCTTGATATTGTCCAGGCTTTCCTCTTCCCTCCTCAGCTTGATGATAAATGGATCGTTAGGAATAATTTTCTCTGCAAACGACATCACGTCTGCATCATAGGTGGCAGAAAATAACAACATCTGGCAATCCGGAGACAGGGCTCTGAAACAAAAAGTCAGGGTTTTTAGCATAAGGCAAGCTCAGCACTGTGCAAATGTGAGATGTAGGGGTTACTGTGTATAATAACTTCATCATCCTCAAGTGCAAGAGTTCAATTTCCGAGACAGACGGTTCATTAAAATTTTACAAACTGTTCTTGTGGATTTTTTACAAAACTAAGAGACCTACACTGAGACGGAGACTGAGGTCTCACCGCATAAGTCAATACAACTGAACAGGTTAGTCATTACTTATGATTATGTGAAGGCTAACAGGAAAAGCAATGGACCTGGCCGACAATCTCAATGCTCTCAAGGAGACAGGACCAGAAGATGATTCAGGAGACAGCGCTGAATCGGCAAAACTCGAAAGATGGCATAAACTTCAGGTCAAAAGAGGTGTCGCCAAACAGGAACACTATACAGGTAACCAAAGAAGAATAGTAAACAAACACAGAACTGGTGTTATCAGTCACCACATGCTGAGGGATATACTGCAGATGGTATCCGAGCACTTATGGACTTGTTCAATGTGCAATGAAGATTTCTGTCAATTAACTAACTAACTATGCAGGCTACACTGTGAACGATAATGGAAGATATCTGTCAACTAACTAACTATGCAGGCTACACTGTGAACGATAATGGAAGATATCTGCCAATTAACTAACTATGCAGGCTACACTGTGAACGATAATGGAAGATATCTGCCAATTAACTAACTATGCAGGCTACACTGTTAACGATAATGGAAGATATATGTCAATTAACTAACTAACTATGCAGGCTACACTGTGAACGATAATGGAAGATATCTGTCAATTAACTAACTATGCAGGCTACACTGTGAACGATAATGGAAGATATCTGTCAATTAACTAACTAACTATGCAGGCTACACTGTGAACGATAATGGAAGATATCTGCCAATTAACTAACTATGCAGGCTACACTGTTAACGATAATGGAAGATATATGTCAATTAACTAACTAACTATGCAGGCTACACTGTGAACGATAATGGAAGATATCTGTCAATTAACTAACTATGCAGGCTACACTGTGAACGATAATGGAAGATATCTGTCAATTAACTAACTAACTATGCAGGCTACACTGTGAACGATAATGGAAGATACCGCAGGCAAGAACATGAGGAAAATAATGAGTACATAGCATGTGCAGAAGAAACAAAACGCTGCCATAATCTTCCTCTTCTACACTTTCGCCAGGAGTAAACGTGTGCGGAAAGGATCTGTAATTGATCAGATGATAAAGAAGAATGCTGATTTTTAAAAAATATACAAATACTTACTTCTGAAGTCGGTAAGACTGATCCTGATGGCCTTGCAAACTGATCATGACATCTGCTTCATCTAAAACGAATACACGTATTTTCTTGACATCAAACACACGCAGCTTGAAGGCCCAGTCCATCACCGTTCCAGGGGTCCCTATTATGATGTGACTGTCGAGTCTCTCTCCACGTGCCACTATCGTAGAAGACAAGCATACATTCTATCTATATCATCAATTTTAACTTTATATGCTGTGCAAGAACACGGAAGACAAACATATTTATCTAGATAATTAATAGTAATTTTACAGCCACTCAGGAGATAAGCAGCATTCTTATCTAAATGATCAATTTCAACTTGTAGCTGCAAAAGAAAATATTCGTTGCCAAATTATCAATTTTGACTCTAAATCAGGCAATCACAGTTTCAACTTCATAGCAAATGGGTCATCCCATAGTTGCTCCATTTCTGTTCTAAGGAAAATCACAGACAATGTCTTTAACTGTCCCTTGTGAAAAAGCTGACACAGACTGCAGTCTCAGCAAGGCATACACATGCATTAAATGTATAAGGCAGTCATTTGAACTACCAGACAAAACAGTCCAGCACTAGAAATGTAGTTTATCATTAATCTAAACAGCAGTTAACAACAATTCAGGAATTGCACACACAATGTATTGCATAAGACAGCACCAGTTCTCTAGTAACAGGCCACTCATCATTTACTGAATCGGTAGTTCACAACACAAACTATGTTGGGCAGTCAAAAATCCTCCAAGAAAAAATCTGCAGCTCACAGAGCTGGGTCATGTACTCACCTCAGTAGTTGGACAATGGAACTATATCCTTTCAGTCTACACATGAAGTAACAATCTACTCTAGAATCCAATTTGCATAAGCTAAACAAGGGGTAGAGTAGCTACATTCTCCTCTAGAAAATGCAATCGCTATCTATTGTCAGAAGCAAAAACTTGAAAAAACTTTTAAAATAAGTATGCCTGCCTATCCACCATAATGATCAGAAACTTTTTATGCTGCACAACAATACTGGAAACAAACATCCTCTAGATCATCAAATGTAACTTTATAGCTACAAAGGGACACAGAGCACTAACAATCTCCTTTTAGATCATCAATTTTATTTGTATAAGCTACACAAGGGGGTAGAGCACTAACATTCTCCTCTAGATCATCAGTTTTATTTGTATAAGCTACACAAGGAGGTAGAGTAGTAACATTCTCCTCTATATCATAAGTTTTATTTGTATAAGCTACACAAGGAGGTAGAGTAGTAACATTCTCCTCTATATCATAAGTTTTAGTTGTATAAGCTACACAAGGGGGTAGAGCACTAACATTCTCCTCTAGATCATCAGTTTTATTTGTATAAGCTACACAAGGAGGTAGAGTAGTAACATTCTCCTCTAGATCATCAGTTTTATTTCTATAAGCTACACAAGGAGGTAGAGTAGTAACATTCCAGATCATCAGTTTTATTTGTATAAGCTACACAAGGAGGTAGAGTAGTAACATTCTCCTCTAGACCATCAGTTTTAGTTGTATAAGCTACACAAGGAGGTAGAGCACTAACATTCTCCTCTAGATCATCAGTTTTATTTGTATAAGCTACACAAGGAGGTAGAGTAGTAACATCTTCCTCTAGACCATCAGTTTTATTTGTATAAGTTACACAAGGGGGTAGAGTAGTAACATTCTCCTCTAGATCATCAGTTTTATGTGTATAAGTTACACAAAGGAGTAGAGTAGTAACATTCTCCTCTAGATCATCAGTTTTAACTTTGAATGCTATCCAGGGAAAGATTCGGTGTCAGTGGCTTAGGCACTGCGCTTCGTTATGCTGGGGTGCCAGGTTCGATCCCAGCTGCGGGCCTTGTGCTGGTTTCAACAGTAGTATCGAGAAGCCCACTGTCCAGAAAGCAATGGCAAACTACTGTATGTAAATTTGCCTAGAAAAACCAAAACCGCCAAAAAGTGTTGGGGCTGGTCCTGCAATGTCCTGTAAAGGATACACAACTAACTAACTAGGGACACAGAGCACTAGTAATCTCTAAATCACCAAAATTAACTCTACAGATACACAGGGGCAGGAAAGACATTTTCCCTCTAGACAATCAATTTTAACTACCTCTTCTTCTTCTTGGCATTCATTGGCCGTAAACTCCAGTAGAAATCCTAGTTATTCATCTACTTCTGGACACTGGACCTGTTCCAGAACTTCCGTTTTGCGTACACATTCATATTACAGATCTAGCTTATTTTTTACACAGAATACATCCCTGCAGGGACTTTTACATTTTATTCATGTTACGCAAGTATTCTTCTTAAGCAAGTTTCTTTAATGGCTTTTTTACTGTATGAATGTGGCGCGGTGATTTATGTCACAGGCGTGAGGGAAAATTAAGTCCAACATGATGTGTATAAGGAGATACTCCGTACGTCACTAGGGCGCCAGTCCTTGACTGTTCTGGTTTTACGGAACCTCACGCAAGACCCCTGCAGCACGTCCTCGTCGTGCGCCACGGATAATGTCTCAAATGAGCATTAACAGAGCTGTCAGGGGATCTTGGAGTTGGCGGCCCCCAGAGGTGATGTGTCCTTGTGGCTCTCATCAGCCCGTCCCCAAACGCATGGGTGAAAAAGGTTATCAAAACTCATTAGGAACATAAGTAAAGTGCTTGCCTAACGTACAGCTAAAATTACAACCCTTAAAAGATTGCGGAGTGAAGAGAACATTGTTCTGCTGAGACTCAACTCTTGACCTAGAGATTTACCCGCAGCACAGACGAGTAACATCTCCTGTGGGTGGCGTCTCGCAGCAAGACTCTACCCATGTACATCCTCTGTTAACCCGCGCTGAGGTACAACACAACAGCAACAGCCCATAGGATGGCTAAGCCTAAATGTCCGACAAAACAAGATCCTACGACACACGAGTAAGCTCAAAATCCGACCATCACAATTTGTATCGAACGGAAAAAGTCCAAATGTCCACACCCAAAGACCCCACTCGCCCAAGTGTTGGGACCAAACTCATAACCATATGTCTGACGCAGGATGTTAAATTCTGTCGGGCTAACGGCTCGTCAAAGAAATCTAATGTGCGAAGAAAAAGAATGTACCTATTCGTTTGGTCACAAAAGTTCAGAACCCGCGGGCTCCTCCCAGCTGACTTCCAGAGGGCGCAGCCCTTGTCGAGCGAGAGGCCTAATACGGTTGTGAGGTTAAGCAGGCATGTGCAGGACGTGACGATTCCTTGGGTGAGCCCAAAACCAGAGCGCCATGTGCCGGCTCTGCATACATGGAAGCCTCCTTGGATGGCGGGAAATGCCTATGATCTGCCCCTGCCTTCCCTTGAGGGCCAACCGTTCCACAAAGGGCTGCCCCAAAGGGGTACTCCGGGGGCAAAACCTGCGGAGAAGGCGACAAAGAGGACACCACACAAATCAGGCAACGTTTGACCCACACAAAACAATGGCCACAGTCTTCCTAGAAATAGGCCTGATGTCTTCCTTCGAAGTCGGAGTACATCTGCCCATGAGGCAGGGAACATAAAACGGTTGTACACGCAAAACTCAGGTCCAGGTAAAAGCCAAAAGTCCAAGTGGACGATTAACCGGGACCTTCCGCCGGAATTCACAGCTGGTGAACGAAGAAGAAGAAGAAGACTGTATAAATGTTCTTCTCTGAGAATTATCAAGTACTGATATTATATAAAGTCAGAGATATACTGGATTTTTAAAAAAACCTTCCGACTACTAGGACTGAATCCATACCCCTCTGAAGGCAAGCACATGCACTAATTACCTCACCACCAATGTTCCATTACTAAAAAGAACATAAACATTAAAAGAATCTGAACAAGACTCTGAGAAGGGCTGCAGGAGTGACCAAAAGATAAAATCAGAAACGAGGCCACAAGAGAAAAGTCAACATAGAACCAATTCTAAATTACATAAAAAGACAAATTGTTTGCCAATTTGGAGATAACGCCTTGTGATGCAATACCATTCAAGGATACAAACAATAGAGGAGAAGGACCTGAAACAGGGAGTGCTGCGCAAACAGTGCATGAGTAAGGTCGGAAACACTCCAGAACCTTCTTTTCCCCCCAAAACTAACTATTAATGTCTGAGGTGGTTTGGCCTTGGCCTTCTTTCTAGAAGTTCTGAAATTCGCTTTTTTCACCATATGACCCAACCTTGTCATACTGGTCAATACCTTGTTGCTGAAAATATTCAAAGTTTTATTAGGTTATTGTATTTTTTGATGTGCAGTCGCCAGTGTTCCCGAAATTCCTTGTATTTTCTAGAACAATCTGGAGATAGCACTATATAAAGAAAGCATCAGTCACGTGAGAAGCATGCAGCTAGCAAGACATCATCATCATCACCCCCATTATGGGCATGACCATCTTTCACCTCATCTCTTTCAATAGACTCCTCTTGTAGCAAACTAAAGAGGAACCTGGGTGTGAAATCGACATACGCAAAGAACAGAACTGTGCTACAGACGTAGAGAACAAGCAGACCGAGAATAAGATAGAAAACTAACATCAGCACAGCATGTCTATGGTTGACACAGCCCAAAGGTGCATGAAGCAGAACCTTGTTATCTCCCTCGATACCCGAAGTGGTAAAAGAGGAAGTGAAGAAGATCCATATCAAGAGTTAAAAAGAATCTTCCTACTTTTAGGAGTGAATCCACACCCTCATGATAGCATGCACATGCACTTATTACTTCACCACCAAGATTCGGCCACTACAAAGAACACCAGCATTCAAAGAATGTGAACAAGACTCTACCTCTTTCTCCTCGAACAGCGTAGATAATGCCTAGTCCCCCCATGTGTTTGCTCATTTCTTTAGTGACATCGCCAATCTGTAGGGCAAGCTCATATGTCGGAGCTAAACACAGGCACTGTGGAGGAATGTTCACAAACAAACATTATCAAGGTTTTAGTGATAAAAATTATTATTCTTAAAGTCTGTGCGTTGGTAGTTATGTCTATTTACAAATTTCTATCTCGTGTACTTTCAATCAACTATGACACAGATGATCCTCCATGCCATGATGTCAAACTGTCTAGCATCTTCTCTCTTGGTCTCCCTCTGCCTCTCCTCCACTACCCTTTCCTATTGTCACGACACACTCCAGTTTTCTCCTTTTCATCATATAACCAAAGAATGTAGACTGTCTCTTTTTGATGTGGGCAATCAGTTCTCTTCGTGAGTCAGTTTCTTTCAAGACATCTTCATTACTCTTTTTATCTGTCCAGGGTATTCTCATCATTCACCTATAAAACCACATCTCCACAACTTCCTAACAATTTTTTTAATAATTTACTAACTGGTCCATGATTGATAAACATTAGCAAACCAAAACTAGCTGATATATATACACATCTCTTCTTCTCTGCATTCACCAGCTGTAACCTCGTATGGTAAGTTCTGGCTGTTCATGCACCTGTGGACTTTGGTATTGCTCCAAAACTTGAATTTTGTGTGCACACCTGTTTTACAGATCTGCTTACTGTTATGCAAACTGTTGGTGCCTCACCTCTAAAGCAGATGCGGTCTGACTTCGAAGGAAAAATTCCTAATTAGTGACTTTTTATGTCATGCTTAATAAGGAGATAGTGGGGCTATTCTTTGGCATTAATGACTATAGTACTTGTACTTTCAAATACAGTACTTGTAGCCGCTACACATATCTTCTTGACTGCAGTCTCCCCTATTGTGTTTAGCAAGTTCATGTCTTGATATCTTTTTGACTGCAGTTTTCCCTATTGTGTTTAGTGAATGCATTTCTTGATATTAAAGGTAACAGTCAAGAGGACTCACTTCACTGTTCCTAGTTTTATCGTGTATGGCTCAGTATCTCTACCCAGAATATGCCTAGAACGTCGCACAAAGCGTGAACACCACAGCTCTGGCAATGACTCTTTGGCGTCTCTGTAAAAACTACTCATGAACCGAACACTGCAACCATGAAACAAACCCATGATCTTCCCAGCGTGAGGCAAACAGCTTGACCCCATCACCAGGAGACCCCGATTTTCTTGACATTCACCCCTATAATGTTTAGGGAATTTATTTCCTGATATTAGCACAATTACAGTCACCCCTATTGTGTTTAGATAATTTAATTCTTGATATTGGCTCAACTACAGTCACCCCTCTTGTGTTTTGGGAATTCATTTCTTGATATTAGCTCGACTACAGTCCCCTCTACTGTGTTTAGAGAATTCACTTCTTGAATTTAGCTTAACTACAGTCACATGACAGCAGACCGCCTTGAATTGGTTTAGACAGTGGTATTGAGAGCTGACCATCCAGAAAACAATGGCAAACTACTGGAGGTAAATAAGCCTAGAAAAACCACAACAGCCAAAAATGCTGGAGTTGGTTCTGCAACATCCTGTAAAGGATATGCAACTGACTTTAAACAGTCACCCCTATTGTGTTTTGAGAATTCATTCCTTGATATTAGCTCACAACATCAGTCCTTTTGTGTTTTGAGAATCCATTCCTTGATATTAGCACAACTATAGTCATCCCTTTTGTGTCATTTTTGAGAATTCATTCCTTAATATTAGCACAACTTTAGTCATCCCTACTGTGTTTAGGGAATTCCTTTCTTGATATTAGCTTGTCTGCAGTCACTTTTATTGTGTTTAAGTAATTCATTTCTTGCTATTTGCTCGACTAGTCACCACTATTTTCAGTGAGGGGAAACATTCACTTACCTGTGGGTGTCTCTGTGTAATGTCCACACGGCTCAACATGGTCAGGACAAAAGCAGCTGTTTTGCCTGTCCCACTCTGGCTCTGGGCTATCATGTTGCAGGGACTGTGAGAAGACAAAGACAAGTGGTCACACAGGCTAAATAGACCAGTTTTTCAACATCTTTCAGCATACTGGGCATTAAATGCTAGACCTACATTTTACAGACAAATCTACATTTAGTGGCTGATATGATAAACACATTTAGTGGCTGATATGATAAACACATTTAGTGGGTGATGTGATAAACACATTTAGTGGCTGATATGATAAACACATTTAGTGGCTGATATGATAAACACATTTAGTGGGTGATGTGATAAACACATTTAGTGGGTGATGTGATAAACACATTTAGTGGGTGATGTGATAAACACATTTAGTGGGTGATGTGATAAACACATTTAGTGGGTGATGTGATAAACACATTTAGTGGGTGATGTGATAAACACATTTAGTGGCTGATGTGATAAACACATTTAGTGGGTGATGTGATAAACACATTTAGTGGGTGATGTGATAAACACATTTAGTGGCTGATGTGATAAACACATTTAGTGGCTGATATGATAAACACATTTAGTGGCTGATGTGATAAACACATTTAGTGGCTGATATGATAAACACATTTAGTGGGTGATATGATAAACACATTTAGTGGGTGATGTGATAAACACATTTAGTGGGTGATGAGATAAACACATTTAGTGGGTGATGTGATAAACACATTTAGTGGGTGATGTGATAAACACATTTAGTGGCTGATGTGATAAACACATTTAGTGGCTGATATGATAAACACATTTAGTGGCTGATGTGATAAACACATTTAGTGGCTGATATGATGTTGGGCTGATATGATAAACACATTTAGTGGCTGATGTGATAAACACATTTAGTGGCTGATGTGATAAACACATTTAGTGGGTGATGTGATAAACACATTTAGTGGGTGATGTGATAAACACATTTAGTGGCTGATGTGATAAACACATTTAGTGGCTGATGTGATAAACACATTTAGTGGCTGATGTGATAAACACATTTAGTGGGTGATGTGATAAACACATCACGTCAGCTGCCTTTACCTGGTACCCATTTAAGGTCAGTCTACCTGGGAGGCAAAGTCTTTAAAAAAAATACTCTGTTAAGATTCGAACCCAAGACCTTCAGATCTGCAGACAAGCGTCTAGCCACTACACCATGGTCACTTCCTCAGACAGGCAACACATACATAAATATTTGTGATTACTTTCTGTGATGGTTTCATCTCAACCTTGTTCCTCTTCTAACCTGTGGTGTTGAGAATGAAGCATCAGTAGTTGGAGTGTTATGTGTGTTCCCAAGAACTATCTTATTCCCTCAGTACTTATTGTTTACATGTAAAAATATTATTTCCTAAGTGGGTCCCATGGCCCCATTTTTCTTCTTTTTAGCATTCACGGGCTGTAGACTTTGGTGGAAAGTTGTTGTTTGTCCACTCATGGAGTTTGGTCTTCCAGAACTTGGGGTTTGCTTGCACATCCATTTTACAGATCAGACAAACAAGTTTTGAAGATCCTTTTTGTCTTCAATGTTCGTGCCTCATGCACCTTCTGTGACATTTACAGGAAGATGGCATCAGGCTTCCCTGTATGGTAATTACACTCCAACGAATGTAGCAATTGTTAGGGGATGTTTGAACCTCTTGTGACATAAAGTAGGATCCACTGTAGCCAAACTTCATTCTAGAGATGGCACTTGACTGACAATTTATAAGAACAACCTCATTTCAATTTCCCCTTTGCCTATTCATCAGTGGGAGCTGAGGAAGCATAGTCGCTAGATGCTCGCCTACCATCTAGTGATCAACAGGTCAAATCTGCACAAAAACACAATATTTTTGTTCTAACACAGCACTGTGTCTTCAGACTAAAATATGTACAAAGCAATGTCCTGGGAAGTAAAGGCGGCCAGCATGTTGTTGACCACATCGCCAAGTGGATGCCAACGTCTATAATACTATGTAAGCACTATATGCTCAATGCACCAAAGAACGATTCTCTACTTGTGTATACTTACTGAATCAGTCCTCATTGGGATATAGTGTCTGCTGGCAGCTAAGTTAGATGGCTGAATCATTTCATCTGGGATTTCTGTTAACGAAATGTAGTGCTGCTACTATCCACACACTACACAGTGGTAGCAGATTACTTGGTGTTGATTTTGTCGACAGTATGAGCTCCCTACTGTCCAGAGAGCAATCGTTATCCTCATCATCATCATCAAGTGCCTTGCCAACTGGCATGGGGATCATGACTCTTGACAATCTGTGATCTTAAACAGCATGAACACGTTTGTGTGATGATGGCCCTTTGTGCCATGATAAAAGGCTGTAAAGAATTTTTTTTTATTATCTTCCTGTTCTCCCCCCCCCCCCCCCCCCACATCTTTCCAGTGGTCAGAACATGTTCCAGTTTCCTTCTCATAACATGAACAAAGTGTATCACTGTCTCTTTATGATAAGTTGTCTTGGAGCCCTTACATCTTTAAAACATCTAGGTAGCTCTATTTTGGCTGTTGAAAAAAATTCCAAGGATTCTTCTGAGAAACCACGTCTCGGAGGCGCCAAGAAATGGTATGACCTGGTTTATTAATTGTCCAGGATTCACAGCACTATATTAAAACTGGCTTTACATAGCATGCAATGCCCAAAGAACCTAAAATTGTCCAAGTAAAATCATACAACAGCCAATAAATGCTGGGGCTAGTTTGTGACACTGTACAAGCAGCATTCTTCAAACTTTCAAACCAGCATCATCATGTGCCCTGCCAAATGATGCTCATGTGTCTCCACAGATCATGATATCTGGTTGCCTGGAACAGCTCTCTTGATATCCCACCCTGCCATCGTTTCAGCTCATCCAGCATCATCTCTCTTGGTCTGCATCTAACCCTATTCCCACTGATCTTTCCAGTTGTCCTGATGTTCTCCAATGTCTCTCTTCTCATTATGTGGCCAAAGAACAGTGTTTGTCTCTTTCTTATTGTTGTATATAGAGATTCATACCAGCACACAGAAAAGATATGAGGAATATTTTGCAGATAAGTTGATAACAGTAACAGAAACTAACGTATATATTTTATTTGCAACGTTTTTTCTGAAACAAGAATGGCTGTAATAACACACACATGATTTTTTCATTGCTTGCAACTGTAACTGGCAACAAGACAGATGGACATTTTTGAGGGACTGCAATGAATTTGGCAACTCATGCCCATCTGCTGATGGTAGAATGAAAGAAAAAAAAATGAGTGTAAAGAACATGCAACAAACCTGTTAAAACTATAAAAGAACACATGCTAACAGTCTGCACTTACGGATCTGCCAGCAAAATTGGTAATGCTGTTTCTTGAATTTTAGATGGAGCATTGAATCCCATGGCATAAACACCTTTCAAAAGTTCTGGTTTCCTGGTAATAAATGGATACAGTAATCACAAGGTATTTTGGAACAAGTAAAGAAGTTTAAGTATCTTGGCACAAGGATAATATAGATGGAAGGTGTATCATAGAAACAAAGAACATAATAGTTTACAACCACATAACCGTCAGGTTTATCTTTAAATATGAGATCAGATGTCTACTGTTTGGAATGTAGACATATCTAAGCTGTCACAATATGAGATCAGACGTCTACTATTGGAATATAGACTTTTTTTTTAAATATCTAGAAACCATGAGTTAACCCTTTGGCTCGATACTATAGATATCGCAACCCTTTGGCCCTGATTCCATGATAGATACCATAAATCTAGGAGAAATGTGGCTTTTCTGCCTACCCCTGGACCACAGTCGCCGCGCAGTCAGGTTTAACAAACTGAGCTAGCGAGCAGGGCAAATATAGACTTTTATGTAAGCTGTCACAATATGAGATCAGTTGTATACTATCAGAATAGAGACTTATATGTAAGCTGTCACAAATGAGATCAGATGTCTAATATCAGAATACAGACTAATATGTAAGCTGTCACAATATGAGATCAGATGTCTATGACTAAAACGTAGACATTTGTAAGCTGTCACAATATGAGATGATGTACAAGGTCCAACAATTCAGTAATGAGACTGATTTTTTATGGCCAGGATAAAATTGTCATATATGAAGCAAAGCATGGAATCCAAAAAAAGCAACTTTCATCTATGATCTGACAACTTTGCATCACCACCTGATAAGCAGACGACAAATAAGCCATCATTTTATTGACCTAGTTAGATGTACATTGTTATAAAATCAGCATGGAGCAAAAAGCTAGCATTAAATTCTGTTGAAAACTCAGAAAAAGCGCCATTGAGATGGTTGAATTGATGCAATAAGTTTATGGAGATAATTGTTTATCTTGTGCATAGATTTTCAGGGGTATTCACGATTCAAAAATGATTACTAATGCAACTAGACCTGGAAGCCCAGTTTCAGTTCGTAATGAGAAACTCGTTGTAAAAGTCAGAGAACGGGGACAAGAAGATCGCTGTTTGACTGAAAGCATGATGGCAGATGAATTTAATAATAATAGAGAGACCATTCGTAAAATTTTAGTGGAAGATTTAGGCAAGAAAAATGTTGCTTGCCAGTTTGTACTACATTCCTTGTCTGATGACCAAAAACATCAGTGTACGCAAAAGACATCAAAACGTGTCACAGAAATAATGATTCCTTAAATTTTATTGTTGCGAAGGATGAAACATGGATTTCCTGATATGATCACACAACTTAACGCCAAAGTGCTCAGTGGACGTCATCATCATCACCAAAAGGCAAAAAAATATGTCTTTAAAAGTGAAGACTATGGTGTGCTTCTGCAACAGCAAAGGAATTATTCACAAAGAATTTATTCCAGAGGGACAGACTGTCACAGCCAATTTAAGTATTTTGAAATTTTCATTGAAAAGGATTCTCAGAGTCCAACCCGAGTATTAAACACCTGGCAGTTTTTTTCCTTCTTCATGACAATGCACCGGCTCACCGGGCGGTAGCTGTACAGGAATTTTTGGCCCCAAAACAAGTGTGTGTTTTCAATCATCCACCCTATTCCCAAGATTAATCTTATTATTTTCTATTCCCAAAATTAAAGTTACCATTAAAAGGACGCTTCTTTGACAATATTGATGACATCCAAAGGACTGTTATGTCGACTTTAAGGGCCATAACAACATAAGAACTACAGAGGTTGTTCCAGTGTTTGTTAGATTGTGCCACTTGCTTGTATCAATGCACAAGGGGCTTATTTTGAATAAAATACAGGTTATATCTCCAACTGTTAATTATTTTAATTTTTATGCAATTAGACTCATTACTTAATTGTCAGACCTTGTATACTATTGGAATGTAGACTTAATATATATGCTGTAGCATGAGACCAGATGTATAGTATTGGAATGTAGACATAATATAAGCTGTTACATCAGACCAGATGACTCCTATTGGAATATATACTTATATGTAATCTGCTATACATGAATAACAATAAAAAACTTACAGATGCAGAGCCTCAAATGATTTGGCTGAGTGCAGTGGTGAAGACGGATCTTTTCTAAGTACCTCGATGTCGGACTTTGAATTCACCAGACCTGAATGAAGAAGCTTCTGCAGAAGAGAAATCTCACTCTTTGTTGTCTCTGTGAATAAACAGGAAAAAAATAATGTTAGTTGATTATCCTTTTCAGATCCAAGACATTGCTTTTAGCTGTAGTGTAGTTTTACTAGGCAATTGTAAAAACCCATGGCATGCAGAAGAAGTGGACCACATGTGGTGAAGCATCGAGACCAAGGCTCATGCTGGAACTATCTAGACTGTGCGTTCATACTAGAAATAGGTTCCCTACAGGGGTGGGGGGGGGGGGCCTGGTTGACGTTTTCTTTGAAGACGGAGTACATCTACCTGACTGCACACAAATAAAACAGATCTGTAAAACAAATATGCATAAAACACTCGGAACAAAGCAAAAGACCATAAGTGAAATGAACAACCAGGAATTTCTACCGAAGTTTACAGCTGGCGTGAGCTAAGAAGAAAGCCCTAGTATCAAGATCCGCTGGTATCATCGGACATATATTTTAGGCTCCGTGGAATGTATTTTAGTTAATGTTCCACTTTGTGTATGCATGTCTTTAGATATGTTCCAGAGGGGCAGGGGCTTAAAAATGTAAATAAGTAAGCTATTTAAAAAATGAATTAGTGACCTGTGTGAAATCGTATTTTTTTAAGGTATTCCCACGGGTTCATTACCCATGTTCATGTTCCCAAGGCAAAAGGGTTAACAAGTATGCTGTAAAAGGCGACTAAAAAACTGAACTTGGATACGCAGGACCAAAAAGTGTAGATATTGCAGCCTAGTTATAAACCACAGATGTTCCAACTCCCCTTTTAAAGAAGAACTAATAATAATTAGAAAGGGACGGGCAAACCCCTAGCAGAAAGTAACATTCTGGCAAGAGAAACACTTGCCAACATGAATTCTACAGAATGCAGGGAAGGGTAATAATGACTGATTCCCTGATTTGTGAAAGAAGGAAGAAAAACACTTCAACAATACCCCCCCCCCCCCCCACTGAAAGAATATGAAGAGAAGATAGAGTGGGCCAGTAAAGACCATGATCCTAAATCTGGCTGCATGGATGGGCCCTAAAAGCAATTATCCAGCTGGTCTAACTGCCAGAAACTGAAGAACTTGGTCAAACAGCAGACAGACAGGCTGTGCAATACTTCAGCTACACTAACCTTTTTCCTCTCCCTCTTTAGGTTTTTCAGTCGGATTTTCTGCAGAATTTTCATTTGAGACTGTGGGAGCATCTCCTCCTGCTGTAAGGACCTTTTCAACATTGACTTCAGCAGAAGGTTCATCTTTCTTAATTGTCAAGGCATCAATCTGGAAAAATCAATGTATCAATTTAGAGTAAATAATTTTTAAATTTGACTTCAATGTATAGGTCTAGAGAAAGTATATATCTAGAGAAAGCAAAGCATAAATCTAGAAAAATTAATGCCTAAATAAGAATAAAGTATAAATCTAGAGAAACTAATGTTTAGATCTAGAAAATCACTTCATAAATTTATAGAAACCAAAGTATATATCTAGAGAAAGCAAAATATAAATATAGGGAAAGCAATACATAAATCTAGAGATCAGACAATTTTAGTTTCAACATCATAGTAAAAAGAGAGCCACAGTTGCTCCATTCCTGTGCCAAAGAAAACATCACAGAATGTCCATTATCACTGCCTCTTATGAAAATAATAATAGATTGCAGTCTCAGCATAGTCAGCAGCATAAGGTATTGCATAAGCAGGGTTCATAGCCAAATTCACCAATCAATTTCAAGGCTTTTTAAGGTCTTCTTAGTTTTTTTCAAGGTTGTCTCGGTGTAATACTGAAACAAGATTTCTGCCTTGTTCGAGGGTGTACCAAGCACACAATGTACTTCATTCGTGCCACACGTGTTGGTATACCAGCACATATATCATCATGTAGCAGGTCCTTTGTCCTGAAAGAAACTCGGTCTCTCGCCAGCTCTCCTGTCTCATTGTGCCCATCTTCGTGTTGGTCGACCCCTGCGCTGATATAGTGTTTAACAATATTTTTTGTAGACTTAGTGGTAGAGGGCATAAACTGAAGTCCTGTCTGTTCTGGACCTGGCACGTGAAAGGGAAAGGGGAGAGGGGGTCATACAGAGAGGGAGGAAGACACATGCTGATGCAGACTGGGAGATGGTGTAAAGATGGACAAATGAAGGTAGAGGAAAGAAGGGAAAGAGAGTCTGGGGAAGGAAGAAAAAAGATGACAAAGAGAGGGAGGGATGGAGACATGATGAGGGAAAGTAGGGAAAGGACAGCGACAGACAGAGAGGGAAACAAATACAGAAAGAGGGAATGCAGATACAGAGATGGGCAGATGAAGAGAGAAGGAAGAAGGGAAAGAAACAGAGATATGGAAGGAGGAAAAATATGACAAACAGAGTTGGAGGAAGGGAGACAGAGGGAGAGAGAATGGTCAGGAAGAGAGGGAGATGAAAGCAGAGTAGACATAGAAGAGAAAGAGACTGAGGGACAGCATAGAGAAGCAAGCAAACAGAAGGAGAGAACTAAAGAAATAGAAAAAAGGCAGAGCAGGAGAATGAGAGGGAGGTATACAAAGAGGAAGTGATGAAGGGAGGCAAACAGACAAAGCAAGAAAGAGGGAGAGAGAGACATGGGTAAGGAAGGCACAGATAAAAAGAGAGAGGGAGGAAGGGAGACAAGATAGAGAGTAAAAAATATATGCCAGAATTGCTAACAAATATAACACATCAAAGAAAAAAAACAACCAGCCTCATGCTGAAACCGCACCCCCCCCCCCCCCCCCCCCCACCACAACACAATTGCAAGTGTACAGGACACAACCACTAGGAAAAGACGGTTAAGGGGCAACAACAAAATGCACAAGAACCAGAAAAAATTGGGGTGGGGGGGGGGGGGGGCAGGGTAGGGGAAGAGAGAATGAGAGAGAGGAGATGTTAAGGAAATCTAGAGAAAATGAGAAGATAGAATGGAGAGGAGACAAAGAAGAGATGGGACAGGAGGAAGAGCAAGAGAGAACAGAGTAAGGAAAGGAAGAGAATAAGGATGGAGAGATAAAGGAGAAGAGTGGAAGATCAAAGGAAAGAGAAGGGGTGAGAGAACAGAGGTAAGACATGGTTGATGGGGGGGGGGGTGGCGGCGGTAAGAACGCTGAGTGCCAAAAATAGAATTAGGAAATCTCTAAGTGAGGCCACCTTTCCGGTTCCCACCCTCTCCCAATGTGAATGTGGCCATGGTCCATAAACAACAGTGCTAACCCCTACCGCCCCTTGCTTGTTTAATCATTGTGTGACAACAATAGTTACATTTCTTACACTCAAGGCTGGTGACCTGAGAGAAATTGGTTTCTCACTTGTGGAAAATAGAGCAGGATACAAAAACAAACAAAAAAATAGGTTGGGGCACCAGTGGACCACGTTTTATTTCTGATTTTCCAATTACAGAAAGGAGAGGGGAGAGAAGGTGGTGTAGAAGGCTGAGATGGTAAGGGTGAGACAAAGGAGGTGAGAACGGTGAGAGAGAGAGAAAGAAAGAATAAAGATTAAGTAGGGAGAGAAAGAAATAAGATGAGATACAGAGGGGAGAAGGTGCACCCCCCTCCCATAGGTGTCATCAATGTGGGAGGAAAACGGGGGTGGGTGTTTTTTTAAAAGTACACATATATTTAATATGTGTGTGAGGGAGGGGGGAGTGGTAGACATGAAATTTTCTGCATTGGGCAACACATAACCTTCTACGCCAATTGAAGGTATAGAGAAAGAGAGAGAGAGAGTGAGGGAGAGCGGCAAATACAAAGAGAAAGAGAGAGGAAGGCAGTGACAGGCAGGCAGAGAGTAAGGAACAGGTAGGACAAAATGTAAGGGGACAGGTAGGAAGATGGACAGAGATTAAGGACCACAAAGAAAACAAACATATAAAAAGAAAATATCCACCATGTTCATGTTGAACACCCCCCCCCCCACCACCTTTTCCACCTCAAACATAACACAACTTTCTGTGTACTTGACAGTTACTAGGAAAAAAGTTATGGAGCAGCACATTTACTAAACATTTAAACAAGAAATAAAATATGCAGAAGGGGGGGGGGGGAGAGACAGGAAATTAAAAGGAAAGATAGAGAGAAAGAAAAGAAGATAAAGATCAGAGGGGAGGGTGTGGCGCGGTGATTTATGTCACAGGCGTGAGGGGAAAGTTAAGTCCAACATGATGTGTATAAGGAGATACTCCGTACGTCACTCGGGCGCCAGTCATTCACTGTTCTGGTTGTACAGAACCTCACGCAAGACCCCTGCAGCACGTCCTCATCGTGCGCCACGGATAATGTCTCAAATGAACATTAACAGAGCTGTCAGGGGATCTCAGAGTTTGGCGGCCCCCAGAGGTGATGTGTCCTTGTGACTCTCATCAGCCCGCCCCCAAACGCATGGGGGAAAAAGGTTATCAAAACTCATTAGGAACATGAGTAAAGTGCATGCCAAACGTACTACTAAAATTACAACCCTAGGTTAAAAGTTTGGGGAGTGAAGAGAACATTGTTCTGCTGAGACTCAACTCGTGACCTAGAGATTTACCCGCAGCACAGACGAGTAACATCTTCTGTGGGTGGCGTCTCGCAGCAAGATTCTACCCATGTACATCCTCTGTTAACCCTCAGTGTCGTCGTTACCGCGCTGAGGTACACCAAGACAGCAACCATCCACAGGCTGGCCACCCATGTACATCCTCTGTTAACCCTCAGTGTCGTCATCACCACGCTGAGGTACAACAAGACAGCAACCATCCATAGGCTGGCCACCCATGTACATCCTCTGTTAACCCTCAGTGTCGTCGTCACCGCGCTGAGGTACACCAAGACAGATACCATCCATAGGCTGGCCAAGCCTAAATGTCCAACAAAACTAGAACCTACGAAACACGAGCAAGCTAAAAATATGACCATCACAAATCGTATTGAACGGAAAAAGTCCAAATGTCCACATGCAAAGACCCCACTCGCCGGAGTGTTGGGACCAAACAGTTAACAATATGCCTGAAGCAGGATGTTAAATTTTGTCGGGCTAACGGCTCGTCAAAGATACCTAGCGTGCAAAGAAAAAGAATGTACCTATTTGGGTGGTCACAAAAGTCCAGAATTCGCGGGCTGCTCTCCGCTGACTTCAAGAGGGCGCAGCCCTTGTCAAGCGGGAGGCCTGATACGGTTGTGAGGTTAAGCAGGCATGTGCAGGACGGCGGGGAATGGCCATGATCTGCCCCTGCCTTCCCTTGAGGGCCAACCGTTCTGCGGGGGGCTGCCCCAAAGGGGTACTCCGGGGGCAACACCTGCGGAGAAGGAGACAAAGTGGACACCACACAAATCAGGCAACGTCTTGACCCACACAAAACAATGGCCACAGTCATCCTAGAAATAGGCCTGACGTCTTCCTTCGAAGTCGGAGTACAGCTGCCCATGAGGCAGGGAACAACAAAACGGTTGTACACGCAAAACTCAGGTCCAGGTAAAAGCCAAAAGTCCAAGCGGACGATTAACCGATACCTTCCCCCGGAATTCACAGCCGGTGTACGAAGAAGAAGAAGAAGAGGGGAGGGTGAGAGACAATGCAGGAGACGGAAAGGAGGGAGCAAGAGCTAGAAGAGTGAAAGAGGGAGGGGGAGAGAGAGAGAGAGAGAGAGAGAGAGAGAGAGAGAGAGAGAGAGAGAGAGAGAGAGGGTGAGAGAATAGAAAAGGGAATCTCAGGGAATTACAATATTGATCGCCAAACACACTGTAAAGATAAACAAGGCCAAAAATAGAACTGGGAAATCCAGCTGACGTCAGGATACTTAGCCCCACCATCTCCCAATGTAATCCTTTCTAGAAAACCCGGCCATAAAGCTATTTATACTATTAATACTGCTGGACTAGCTAGAAAAAAAGGCACACAAGAGGTGGCTGCTCCTTCTCGCCCCATGCTACACGCTGCTGTCTGCGTGTATCCATGGGCTGCAACACAGCCCGCTTTTCCCTAGCCTGTAAGAAGCCATTTAGGCTGAAAATAGCAGACAATCAACTGCCCTCATACGTGAAACGACCGTAATTGAAAGTAGCCAAAACTAGCCAAATAGCCAAAGAAAAAGTCTAACTGCCAAAAATCGCAGGACTTCCGATGATCTCATTGCAGTGGTCAAAATTCACGGCATCTTACGGTCAGAATGTCTTTTGTAAATGTCAAAATTAAGAATCCTGGTCGGGGCCTCAATTTCACGGTTAATTCAAGATGTCCCTGTCTGCTACGAACCCTGCATAAGGTAGTCGCTGAAAAGCAAACAAATAGT